TCCATCCTTATACTAGCATAAATAAAAACTCTTTAAAAAAAAAAGAGTGGGTGTCCAGTGCCTCACGCTGGGGGCCCAGCTCTCTACTCCTTTTTGTTGTTCTATCATTTGTGGTCCTTTGGAATCTGTCTGCTAGCAATCCACCAGACCATCTCTCTCTCTCTCTCTCTCTCTCTCTCTCTCTCTCTCTCTCTCTCTCTCTCTCTCTCTCTCTCTCTCTCTCTCTCTCTCTCTCTCGTTTCCTAAGATGGGTCTCTCTGGCCAGCCTTGAACTCACCATGAAGACCAGACTGGCCTTGAACTCACAGAGTTTCATCTGCCTCTTGTCTCCAGAATTCTGGGATTAAAGTTGTGTGCCACTCTGCTCGGCTCTAACTAGTTTTCTTGAAAACTGGTAGCATTCTGTGACTCATAGCTGAACTGTGCTGTTGCGTGTGAGGCATTCTGCCAAGGGCTCTGTGTGACTGCAGTGACGGACATGATGCTCATGGGTTGAATCTGGCTCACAGTGTGGTGCAGTGTAAGCCAACAGTGGAGGAACAGTGAATTAGATGGAGATATCTATAAATTATTGATTTCCATTTATTGTTGAGACAAAACAAAACAAAAATAATACATCTAGAACAATAACAAGCATAACCCCTGTTACTATTTATAGTACTTTCCTGGCCAGTGCTGTGTTTTTCTGTTTTTGGAATTCTAATTCCAATTATATTTAAAATGAAAGAACAATAAGCCCCTTAAAAAGAGCTAAACAGAGGAAGTGTCGGGGTCAAGGGAGTGGCTTAAGTGAGGGACATCAGAGCTAGTCCTACCCAAATGTAGAGCCATGTCCCCTGCCCTGCTTTGCTGCGCCAGCTTCCACGTGGTTGCCCAGAGTGCACAGTGGACCCATGCCCCTGCAGATGTTCCCATCTTTTCCAGTCTTCTCTAATGCATTGGCCTCTCTAATTCCTTCCCAGGGAAGACGTACGCCATTTCTTCATTTCTTTGGTCTTGAATAAATTATTTTTTGAGGTCAAGGCAGAATATGACTGTTTTGAAAGAGGCAGAGTGTTGAGAATAACGTAGTTGAAAAGTGAGAAGATTGCCAGGTGCTCAGGATCCTTGGGAGGACAGCCCCTGACACTTTGTGGGTAGCGATGATGACTGCAAGGTTGTATTGGGTTTGTAAGGTAGACTGCCATTGCTGTAGTCACAGAAAGTTATATCCACAACCCCTGAGCTTTGTGTAACCCTCTCTTCCCTTCTCTCCCTTCTTTTCCCTTACCCTTTGTTTTTTTGTTTGTGGCTTAATATAGCTCAGGCTAACTTCAAACTAGGGATGTAGCCAAGGATGACCATTGAATTATAATCCTTTTACTTCCACATACTGGGATTATACTCATGTGCCTCCATGCCTGGCTGTTTTTCCTTTTAACATAAACTGGATAGATTGGAAAATACTTGAAAACATATGTGCACGATAAAGAGGAGAGATGTTAGTTTACTAGAGTAGTGCACGTAATGGGCGAAAGGTGATTGGCTGGGAAGTCACCCAGAGAGCAGCTTGTGTAGACTGGATTTCAGACGGCTCCTGGCTGTCTAGTGACTAGTGGCGTCAGAGTGCCCGAGTTTCTCTGCAAGGCTTCTCTAGGTGTTTTCTCTTAAGAGGGTGTCTCTGGCTTTGGCACACAGACAGTTTGGGTGTATCATGGCTGTAGATTGAAAAGTTGTTATGCCTATGCTGTCTGTTCTTGATTCTGCAGATCTGGTTACACGTCTTAGAGAAAAGCTTTTAGGTTTTGGCCTGACTTTGGAAAACATTTTTCAAATGTGCAATTATATATTAAGATCCCTAATTTTTTCCTTCTAGAGAACTGTGTGTAATTAAAAAATGACCTTGGTTAGTTTGATGTAGTTTTAGATCTTAATATGAAGCTAGGTTTCATCTATTTTCATTAAATAAAAGTGTATTTTTTAGTAATAGTGATCTGACTCAGTAAAAACATTTACGAATGAATATTGTGATATATGTACGAAAATACTGAAGCAGAAGCTGAGTGATCAGATTCCATAGGGAGGCCATATCCAGATAGATGCTGTAGGTTTTACAGCATCCTTCGTGACAGCAGGAGTGCATGCCTTCCTTTTACCTTTCCCCAACCGAGCATTGTAGGAAAGTAACTGTCGAGAAAGGTATGTTATCTGAGGAACAGGGGTGTGCCAGCGGAGTGAAGTTAGCCTTTGTCCAGCCTATAGAGTTACTGCTTTTCAAACCAAAAAGAAAAAAAAAAGAAAAAAAGAAAAAAGGAGAAAAGAGCAAAGCAGAGGGATTTTAAGTTTCAGGCCAGCCTGGGTTATCCAGTGAGAACCTGTTTCTAAAACAAACAACCTCTCCCCATGGACAACAGAACCACAAAGGTATTCTCAATAACCAAAGCCAAACATATTCTCAGTAACCCACACCCAAACCCAAGCAAGATAGCAGATCCACAAGGAGGGGGACAAAGGTAAAAAGTATTTGCCTAACCTCCTTCCACTTGGTTCTTTCCTACCTGCTAAAGGTTTTACCACCTGCCCGTAGTGCCATGCGCAGGCTTGGAACCATGGAATGTCTCATCCCAGGACCTTTTCTCCCCCAGCCTTTGAACACGGTTTCCCAATTACAGGTTCTGTACTTTTGGTGACCAACAGTGGTCAGGTGAAGAAAACCAAAGGCAGGCATTTAGTTGAAATTTTCCCCAATTTGGTTCTCAAATGGAAACTTTGTTAAGCGCTGGGTGAGAGAAACAGTGGGCCCTATTGGAGGGGGAGGACCTTGGGAGGGTTTTCAATTAAGTGCTTGGGTTTTTTCTTTTAATTTGAACTATCTTAAAAGTTTTATTATTTTGTATATGTGAGTGCTTTGCCGACACGTGTGGCTATGCACCACATACATGCTTGGTACCCTCTGAGGACAGAAGAGGGTGTTGGATCCCCTGGAACTGCAGTTACAGACAGCGCTGAGCTGCCATGTCGGTGCTGGAATCCAATGTGGGTCCTCTACAAGAGCAGCCCTACTCTTAAGCTCCAAGACATCTCTCCATCCTTGGCTTATGTTTTACTGTTTGACCACTGTTGGTCACCAAAAGTCTTGTACCTGTAATTGGGAAATTATAAAAATTTGAAAATTAGAATAAATCTTTACCTTGTAATGTGATAGTTACTAAAGACTAGAAAACAGTTTTAAATGGTTGAAGGTGCTTTTTTATCTTTCACTTATCAAATGGTTTGTCTCTATGTGAGCATAATTTTTCTAATGTCTTGAGAAATTGAGTTTGTAGCATAAAGTCCTCTCATGGTACAGTACACACACACAGACACGTCATACTTTAAAATAATGTATTAGAAAGTAAGACATCGTAAGGCTGTGGACTTTGGCTTTTCTTAGAGAATGAACAGCATGATTACTCTGGCTCTCTACCTGAAGGCCGCAGGAGACCTATCAAGTCCAGGCATTCCCCACTCCTGGTTGAGCCTTGTGATTCTCTGCAGCTGTGTTTGTTGGATGAGCGTGACGGTCATGTCAGCGGTTAGACCTCCCTAGGAGTGGGATTGCTGAATCAAAAGACAGTTCATTTAAAGCTTTAATGTTGGTGATTCAGTTTTCTTTTTCAAAGTGTGGAGTAATAAACAGCCTTCCAACAGTATGTGAAAACATTATATATACACCAACAGGAGTATCCTGGGCTTTGCAATATAAGGCACATGATTGCTTCATTGTGTATTTTCCTGATGAAAGAATCATATAGTATGTGTGTTTGGGGTAATAGGGATGTAAATGTGTATATATATATATATGTATATATATATATAAATAGATTGTCCATTGTTACATGTGTTGAGATATTCTAGACCAGTGGTTCTCAACCTATGAGCCACATATCAGATATCCTGCATATCAGTTATTTACATTACAATTCGTGACAGCACCAAAATTACAGTTATGAAGTAGAAATGAAGATAATTTTATGGTCGGGGTCACTACAACAGGAGGAACTGTATTAAAGGGTCTCAGCATTAGGAAGGTTGAGAACCACTGTCCTAGACTATTACCTATATTTTTTGTTTATATTGTCTTTTGTCAAATAGTAATTTTCTCTTTTAAAAATCATGTTTTGTTTTGTATTGTTTTCCTGTATAACTTTTGGATTTTGTGCCTTATTGTAGAGGCCTTTTCTAGATCATGATTATAAACATACCAAGATTTTTAATTAGTTTTTTGGTTTAAGGGAACATTAATTCAATGTTATAAATAAAGTATGACTATCAGCTCCCCTACCTATGAATACATAACTGTCCCAGTATCATTTATCGAATAGTGTTCTGACTAATTTTTATGTCAGCTTGGCACAAACTAGTATCATCTGGGAAAAGGGAACCTTTATTGAGAAAATGCCCCCACCAGAGTGTCTGTAAGCAAGTCTGACAGTCATTTTATTGATTAATGATTGATGTGGGAGGGTCCAGCCCACTGTGGGTGGTGCCGCCCTGGGTCGGTGGTCCTGAGTTGTGTAAGAAAGTAGTGTGAGGAGGAAGTCAGGAAGCAGAGTTCCTCCATGGCCTCTGCACCAGTTTCTGTCTCCAGGTTACTGTCTCGAGTGCCTGTCCTCACTTCCTCAGTGATAGAGGATGACCTATTGGGAGTGGAATGACCTTTTCCTCTCCAAGCTGACTGTGGTCCTAGTGTTTATCACAGCAGTAGAAACCCTAATGCAGACAAGTAGTGTTACTTTCCCCATCATTGACTTAACATTTTGTTATGTTTTTAATTTTCATAAGTAGATAATTTGGTTTTGTACTTTCCTACTATTCTTACTATTGTAGTATTTAATTCCCCTTTCCCTAAACATTTTTTAGTTAACGTTGAACATTACTTTTCCAGAGTAAGACTATAATCTCTGAATCTTTCTGATTTTGTCTTTATTTGTAGTTCATTCGTTCAATGATCTCTTACGTTTTCTTTCCTCTCATTTCAGAGCCCTGTATATGGAAATCCACAGGAGACATCTCAGGGCAGAAGAGTGGTCATTTCTCACAACATGGATCGAGCTCTGAAAGATGGTGAGGATGGACGGGGCTCGTGGGATTTCTATATAAAGCCATCACTCACTCTTCTCAAAGGGTTCATAATTTCTAGGTTATCTATCCTTCCTACAGCTGTAGGAATGTTTCAGGAGTTTCTGTTTGAAGATTGGGTACATCTGTGTTTTGGATAAATGGAAGTGGTTTAAACATTTATAGAGCAGAAATTCCTGAGCCCTGAGCCAGCCCAGGAAAGGTTTATCTACAACATGGAGTGCAAATCTTTTCTCATCTCCCTAAAATGGGTTTCGAGAAACATTTCATTCTAGACACTACCTGGAGGATGTGTGTTGTGGGTGGGTGGAGATTAAATGATAGCCTCACAAAAGAGTGAAGAACATGTAAATGTTGCCAGAAGAGGGCTGAGGAACAATTGCAAAGTATACTACAGTTTTATTCCTGGAAGTAGAATGGGCAAGTGTCTGAAAATTAATGCTTAAGGATATAACACATTTTGAAGATCAAATTAAGGCTTTGAAAGATTATTAAAACCAGATTTCTAAGCATATTGATTTCAGTTATTATGCAGGGAAAAAGTCTGAATTTTTCCACTAACTACATGATGTTAGATAGGTAAGAGGTAACTGAATAAATAATATACAAATAAGTATTTTTTACTTAGCACCAATATTTGATTTTTCTTCACTACCTTAAGCATCCTCCCCACCCCCTGAATTCCTAGTTGTTTGGTGTAAGACAGTTAGTCTGGTAAAGTTATTATTCAGTCACCCCTGTAGTTGCTAGGGAGGCGGCTCAGTGGTTAAGAGCACTTGCTGCTCTCACAGAGGACTTGGATTTAGTTCCCAGCACACAAACTGGCTCCTAACCATCTGTGTAACTAGTTCCAGAGTTTCTTATACTCTCCTCTGGACTCCTTGGGCACTAAGCATGCACGTGGTGCAGATATATACATGCAAACATTCATATGTATATAATAAAAATAAATTAAGTATTAAGCATGCTATAATTCACTGGGTGTGGTAGTGCCCACCTTTAATACCATTGCATGGGAGGCAGAGGCAGGCAGATCTTTGTGAGCTTGAGGCCAGTCTGGTCTGCAAAGCTAGTTTCAGGACAGCCAGGTTTGTTTGTTACACAGAGAAACCCTGTCTAGGAAAACCAAAGGAAAAAAACTAACAAACAAAAAATCTTTAATTCTATAAACTGTGTTTCAACTGTTTTCTTTTTAAATATGATCGAAGAGAAACCCTGTCTAGAAAAACCAAAGGAAAAAACTAACAAACAAAAAATCTTTAATTCTATAAACGGTGTTTCAACTGTTTTCTTTTTAAATATATATGATTGACCTCTCATTGTATTTATGTGCCATGCTTTATTTGTTTCTCCATTGATGGACACTTGAACTGTTTCTATCTGGGGCCATTGTGAATACCAGAAATGCGATGCCTTTTGAATTGTGGAAGACATAAATATTTCTTTGTAGTTGAACATAACATTCTTTCTCTTGGATGGTGCAATTTATTTCAGAAGTATTTGTGTGGAGTGGGTTTAGGAAAAAAAAACCTGAGGCTCATCTGAAAGAAACAAATGGCATGTTGCCCTGAAGTTAATTTTTGTGTAGGTTCAGTGATTTTTTTTGAAAAGAAAGTTATACAAAGCCTTTGTGTAGAAGCTTTGTTTAATTATTATTTGGCATATAATTAAGCATATTTGGTGGCTGGTTTCCTTCCTTCCTTCCTTTTTGGTTTTTCAAGACAGGGCTTCTCTGTGTAGCTTCGGAGCCTGCCCTGCAACTAGCTCTTTTAGACCAGGCTGGTCTTGAACTCACATAGATGCACCTGCCTCTGTCTCCCTAATGCTGGGATTAAAGGTGTGCACCACCACCACCTGGCTTTTGTTTTCTTTTTTAAACTTATTTTTATTAATGTATCACTTATGTATTAAGGAGACTTGGTGTGATAGTTCAGTGTATAGGTGTGTGCCAACTAAATCCAGCCATTTCCCTATTGATAGTGTTCTCTATGCTACACAAGGTTGACTATTTTGTATTTTTCTCTTTTGTAGCTCAGCTCCTGTGTCTGTTAGACAGCATCTTTAGCCAACTTCTTAAGGCTCAAAAGTCCTTTGTTTTACATAAGATGGTTTACAAGGAAATTGAACATCATATCCTCTACCAAAATGAGATCTGCTGGCTGCTATAACAATAGATTTTGGAGTGCAGTTTACGCATTTGGCAGCAGTTGATAATATCAGTAACAAACAGCCCAAAACTACAATTACTCTCTTTAAAAAATGTGGCCACTTAAATTTATGGTGAATCTAGAAATGTGTGTTGAGAAAGCTAAAAGATCATAGAAACATTAAAAAAATCCTTCGTGAATGTAGTTTCATCTTCAGAGTATATTTTATATTTCTAAACCAGAATATTTAATTAAACTACAGCACGTGGGCCAGTTGATGGCACACACCTTTAATCCTAGCACTTGAGAGGCAGAGGCAGGCAGATTTCTGTTAGTTCGAGGCCTGCCTGGTCTACTAAGCGAGTTCCAGGACAGCCTTCGAAACAATACAGAGAAGAAAAGTAAACCACAGCAAGTGATAGCACATTTAGTGTTGATAAACCACAGCAAGTGATAGCACATTTAGCGTTGAGAAAAGTGAGAGTCTGTGTTAAATGACAGTTTGTTTGTTAGAATTGCAGTTGCTTAAATTTAGTTGATGTGAACCACTTAGAAAATATCTGAAAATATTATCTCCTGAAGTTAATTTTAACTAGATAGCATTGTACTATTTTATCTTTATATATTTACTCTGTTAAAATGATGTAATCAATAGTTCAGTGAAGTACAAATATACGTGTGATATGCACATAAACATGTTTGTTGCTAAAAAGGTGTTTGTTTTAGCTCACTGTAGATGAGGAATTGTTTGAAGTCTTTACATACTAAATTATAAGAATTAAGAGGTAGTGAAATGCAATGTAGTTCGGTGTTAGATGGAACAACCAGAAATATACTACATGTGCTGGAAGTTAACGGATACAGTTGACCTATCTGCTGGCAAGATGTGCCACTGGTTAAACAGAGGCATGGATGTTATTGAGACAACCAATGCTCTGCACAGGAGGGAATCCATGTTCTGCAATCTTAGAGTCATCTTTAAAAATATTTTGTTCTGTGGTAAAGTGCTTGCCATGCAGGTATAAGCATCTAGCATCCCGATAAAATCCAGACTCAGTGGCATACCTTTCTAATCCCAGTGTTGGGGAAGGAGACAAGTGGATCCCTGTAGCCCCCTGGCCCATCAGTCTAGCTGAGTCAGTAAGCTCCGGGTTCAGTAATGTAACCTGTCTTAAAAACTAAGTGGAAAACAAGCAAGGAAGACACTTGATGTTGACCTCTGCCCTTCACAATACATGGATCACACAAGCATATACATGCACGTGACAAAAATATTTGTTCATTTTTGTGTTTGTGTGGGTCGGTATAGCTATGCTATATTTATGTAGAAGTATGGCTTTCATTTTTGCTTTATATATTCAAGCTAAAAATGTAGTTGTGATACTTACCTTAAGGATATTGATTAGCTATTAATGAAAGAACTACCTATAGCAAAACAACAAGCAAACAAAAACAAAACAAAACAAAACAAAAAAACCCCCAACTTTCTGCCAATATTGATTTTTCTAATTCCTAACCAAATTATATCACCACAGGAGTGTTTTAGAGTTGTATTAAATAACATATGCAATATAGTTGAGAAATATAATAGGATATAACACAGATGATACACCTTTCATGTCGTCTGGTGGTGTGAATGAAAATGGCTTCCATAGGCTCATATGTTTGAATGATTAGTCACCAGGAAGTGCCACTATTTGGAAGGATTAGGAGGTGTGGCCTTGTTGGAGGAAGTTTGTCACTGGGGCTAAGCTTTGAGGTTTCAAAGCTGTCACCAAACCTAGAGTCACTCTTTCTTTCTCTCTCTCCCCCTAACAGACAAGGTCCTTTAGTTTTTTGTCATCCATGTCCACTAGATCTCTGTTCTTGTTTAAGAGTTGCTAATGGGAAGGCCACCATCTGGCTTGACTGCCTATTGGGCAGTTGTTATGGAGTTTCTCTTTGCGCTGACTTGAGCAGAACCTCTTCCCTAAGATATGCGTGCTGTTGTTCTGTTGTGCTGCTGTCTAGAGCAGGTTTACAAAGTGGTGCCTGTGACTTATGGCTCCCATGAATGTGATTTAAAGAAGCCAGACCAGCAGCAGACAAGGACACTGTTTTGGGTTTCTCCTGTCTGTTACACTTATGGCTTTTCTTCTGCTTATGCATATGGGGGACTACATTGTGGGGAGTAGGACAAAAGGCATGGTGTCACCTCTTTCAGAAAGTCATTTTCCTCTTGTAACAAGATGGCTGTTGCTGCGTAGACACCATCTTCGATCCATTTGTCGAAAGTAAACGAGGGTTGTCTCTGCTGTCTTAGTGGACTTGCCCAATTTGGGATGGGGTACAGCTACTCTGCAAAAGCTGGGGAACAACAGCCGTCTGCTCTCCTATCTGGATGCTAACATAACAATGGGTGAGAAGCCTAAGAGCCCATCTGTTGGACGACTCTTCTTCCTTGTTTGGTTGTTACTGATACGACTTTTGATTCCAACTTGCATGCCAGAGCCCATAAAACGCTGTTTAGTGAGGGGTTAAAGTTGCCATAGCATCTTGTCTGTCTGTCTGTCTTTGAAAGGTAATTGTTCTTAGCTAGTAGGTACAGTTGAAGCCATTGGAATCACCTTGAGAATTTACCTAAACTTTGGCATATGTAAATGTTAACAAAATTGTTGATGTTCTGTATGTGGGTTTTTATTTGCCTGTGTGTCTGTCTGTCTGTCTCTGTGTGTGTCTTGTCTGTTTGTTGAGACAGGGTCTCACTATATAGCCTTCACTGGCCTAGAACTTGTGATGTATACTAGGCTGTCCTCTAACTCTCAGAGATCTAACTAGCTCTGCCTCTCAAGGGTTGGGATTAAAGGAGTGCACCACCCTACCAGACTATGAGTAGTGTCTGGAAAAATAAAAATAAAAAGGAAAGCTTTGAGAAATAAGAAGTGATTTAAAGATACCAGTAAGCTTGGTGTGCTGGAGCTAGAGCTGGGCAGTCTTGTGTGGCTACATTTTCCCCTGTGGCACTTGGAGGTGTCATCACCTATGCCAGATAGCAGTTTATTGTTCAGAAGTCTCCTTTCTTGAATAATCACATTAACTTTACAGTCTTTCTATATGAAGTAGAGCTGTGCCACCTATCATGGGCAATCCCTAGACCTATGATGTAGCTATTGATGACCAGAAACTCTAATAGTTCATTTGTCATTGCTATAAATATAAAATATGTACCAGATTTCAAAGCTTACTTTGAAAAAATAATGAAAATATTTCATTTTAAATGCTGATTACTTAAAATTTAACTGCATTATATGAAATGAGATATATTGTTTATTTTACCTGTTTCTTTTTATTCTATTAATATGACTAGCAGAAAATGTGAAAACACACACACAGATTTTCATGTTTCTATTAGATGTCACTAGTCTAGAAATTGCCCAGTGACGGTGTCTGCTACATGTGTTGATCTGTATGTGGCTGTTGTGGGGGACTGTTCTTGTATTAGGTGGGGGCTTATTAGGAGACAGAATACTGAATGTATTCTGAAATTGAATGTAAATAATCATGCTCCTGTACCATGGTTTAAGCATTAATGGGTAAGGAACTCCAAAGACTATAGGTAAGGGGAGTGTGAGCAGCTTCTACATCTCATTGTCGAGCAGAGTATCTTAGGGTGGAATAAACGTGACAGGAATGCCTTTTCTTTACTCAGGTGAGCTTTGGGGTCTTCCTGGAGAAGCCATGACCTTGACCCAAGTGATGACAGAGAAGATTTGCTGTATTGTATGTTTTTAAGTAGATTGGCATCAAGATCAAGTATTTAAAATTAGACTCTGTAAGACCCAGGCATTCCGGTTAGATGAGGATCTTTTAATTTAAAAGATTTCCTTTCCCTTGTTCTATTCTCTACTCTCATTATATTTTAAACAGTGTCTGCAATGTTGACCTAGCTCTGCTTATTCCTCACAGTGTTTGACTACACTTATAGAGACTATATTCTCTCCTGGTACGGGAACCTCAGCAGAGATGAAGGACAGCTCTACCATCTGCTCTTGGAAGACTTTTGGGAAATCGCCAAGCAGATTCGCCACAGGCTGAATCACGTGGATGTGGTTAAAGTTGTGTGTAATGATGTTGTAAAGGCTTTGCTCACTCATTTCTGTGACCTGAAAGCTGCTAATGCCAGGTAAGTGTGTAATACTGGGAAACCCCTCCCCTTTCTCATTAAAACTTCCCTCCTGTTGCAGGGGCGAAACAAGGCAACACTTAAGAGTAGTTTGCCTACTTGACTAGAATGTAGACATTTTGAAGGGAAATAGTCACCATGTACTCAAAGAATGTATTTCTTGCTAACTTTGTAATAGAAAATCACCTTATAGATACACATGGTTTTCATGAGTAATTTACACAATAAACCGGTGATGGGCCAGCAAGTATTGTAATGAACTCAATTGTGGGGACCTAGAGATGAATTCAGGGCTCTGTCATATAGTGTCATATAGCGAGCTTACAAATTCGAGAAAGAAAACTGTAGCTCACATTTCTTTCTGTGATTCTGTGAATTCAGGGCTCTGTCATATAGTGTCATATAGTGAGCTTACACATTTGAGAAAGAAAACTGTAGGTCATATTTCTTTCTGTGATTCTGTGAAAAAAAAAGCTTAATTGCTTCAAATTGCCTGAAATTTTTTTTTTACATTTTTTCCTCCTGTGGACGCCTATTTGCGCTGCATGCTACTGGCTTTCACCGAACCTTTTCATACAGGAATGCTGTGCATTTTGAACATACTTCCCCCAGATGTCCTTACCTTCCTTTCCATCACTTCCTTACTCATTCGTCCTCTTTGTTTGCCTAGGGTTTCAGTTCTTCATTCACGTTGTATATTCATACATAGTTTTGTAGTTATGTAAGACCTAGAAACCACAAATGAAATGTAGTATTCGTCTTTCTGAGACTGACTTAATTCACTTACTCTGATTCTCTCCAGCTACATCTATCTTCCTCCAAACAACATAACTCTGCTCTTTATGACTGAGAAATCTGCAGTTTCTATATACTACATCTTTATCCATTACCATGTTTTTTGACCTCTAGATTGGTTCTATAGCTTAGCTATTTTAATTTTTAAAAATAATGTGTTGTTTTTTAACCCTTTGAAAGTTCTCATTTATAAAATATCTATTGGCTAAATATCCATCTACCACTACCTCCTGCCAACTCACCCTGGTGTTCCCCACCCCGTTTGTCTTTTCTTTGTTGTGCAATGGGTGCTTCCCATATGCATGAGTGTGTAGCCATCCCCTGGGGCTCCAGCAGCCTACCAGCAGCCATGTCCCCAAAGATGGGTGACTTTCCCTCTCTCCTTCAGCAGCTGCTTATCCAGTAGAGGTGGGGCCTTATCCCCCAGCCCCCAGTCAGTTCTGGAATTTCACTGCCTTGACCTTACACAGGTGACTACAGCCGCTATGAGTTCCTGAGTGCAGTGGCTCTGTCACATCCAGAAGCATTTTAGGTCTCCCCCACCCACTGGCCATTGCGCAGACCTCCTTCCATGAAGCTCCCAAGCCTTGGATGGTTGGAAGTTGATACAGATGACCCAGACAGAGCTGAGAACTCATTTCTTTATACTCAGCGTTTTTACCAGCAATGAGTGCATTAACCAGTACTTACTGCAAGGAGACGCTTCTCTGACCAAAGTTGAGAGCAGCACAAATTGCTGGGTATAAGCAAATATTAGAAGGTGGTTTAACAGCATGGCCCTTTAGCAAAGCAACAACACTAGGTTCCCCCCAGGACCTATGACTTCCCTAGCCAGTACCAGGTACAAAAGCCTTCCTGTGGAGCAGCCCTCCCAGCCAGTGAGAAAGCAGTTTGTTGTGCCTGTTTCTGTCACATCAGTATCACACCAGCGCACGTCTTGCCTGGAAGGTTAGTATAGTAGCCTGCAGGGCCCAAGGCAACGTGTAACCTCTGATGTCTTTTCTCCCCCAGCAGCCTGCACAGCACCTCCCAACACTATGAAAACTAGTCATCAGGGAGCATTTCCTAGTCAGGCCGTGGTTCATTAGTTCATGTCCCGCTTCCAGAGTGAGTGTTGTCTTCAGCAGTAGTGTCCTGCCATCTACACGTGGTGGGTGGGCAACCAAAAGCGGTGGCAGTAGCCACTGGAGGAGTGCCTCTGGACTCCCTGTGAATAGCTCAGAGGCAGGTATCATGTGCCTGGCATGGAGATTTTCATTAAATAACCTATATCTTCTGTGATCAGACTCCCCTTTAAAAAGAACACACACACCACACACACACACACACACACACACACACTCTTTCAGTCCACTTAGAAACTACTGGATTTCTATAAGGTTTCATCATGTAGCCTTAGTTTTGTCTAGTCTTCCCCACCCTGCCCTCTCCCCTGTCTCCTTATCTCTATTTAAACCTTTAACCCTGAGTATACCCTCTCCCCCAAACCATTTTCATATTGTCTGTGTTCTAGCATCTCCTCAGTTGGATTTCCCCTTGGGTTGGAAAGTTGTAGGTTTATATATAGTTGTGTTCTTTTTTTAAACCTACCGTTCATGTTTGTTAAGCCAGCTGCCCATACCTCATTTCCCCATCCCCTACCTGTTTCCATGTACACCTTCTGCCCCCAGTGTCCCCCTCTCTACTTTCCTTCTGTCTGTGTTATACCATTCTCCTCCCCTTAAGACGTCCACCCACAGTGGCCCATTTCTAGTTTTCCTGCCTTTCACTCCGTAAAAAACAAATGATCCAAAGTAAGAACCGCATATGAGAGAGCGCATACAGCAATTGTTTTTTTTTTTTTTTTGGGGCCAGAATGGCCTCAGTCAGTGTAATGTTTTCTAATTCTATCCATTTACCTTCATATTTCATTTATTTTTATAGCCAAGTGATATTCAATGTGTAAATATACCACATTTTCCTTGCCATTCATTAGCTGATTGACAACTTGGTTGAATCCGTTTCTTAGCTATTGTAACTTGAGCTGCAGTGATCATGGATGAGCAACTTAACTATTTTCTTTTCTTTTTTTGGGGGGGGGTTACGAGACAGGGTTTCTCTGTATTGTTTTGGAGGCTATCGGTCCAGCCTGGCCTCAAACTTACAGAGGTCCGCCTGCCTCTGCCTCCCGAGTGCTGGGATTAAAGGCGTGCGCCACCACCGCCCGGCCCAACTATTTTCAGTAGTGCTGCAAGAAGCAGTCACGTGCAAATATTTGTTATAATATCTAAGTATAGCTAAGATTATGTAGGTTTGGGTCCTATGGTAGATCTAATTTTAGTTTCTTTTTTTTTAAAGATTTGTGTGTGTGTGTGTGTGTGTGTGTGTGTGTTAGTGTTAGCACATGTGTGGAGGTCAGAGAACTCCTTTTCCATAGCTGGCTCTTTGCTCCTACCTTTTTTGAGGCAGGGTCTCTTGTTTGTCCTGCTGTAGTGTGCATAGAGATCCAGATGATTCTCTTGTTCTGCCCCCCATCTTGCCATAGAGGAGTCTGGGATGACAGCTGTACACCATGTCTGGCTTTTTTTTTTTACATGGCTTCTGGGGGTTGAACTTAGGTCTGGGGCTTTTACTGGTTAAGCCACCTCCTGGGTCCCGGTTTTTGTTTTTTGAGGAGCCCCCATACTGGCTTCTTAGTGACTAGACAACTTTACAGTCCAAGAGTATTCCCTGCTGTGCATGCCCTTGCTAGCTGGCATTTGCTGTTACCGGTTTCCCTAGTGACTGCCCTTCTGACTAGCTTGAGATGGATCTCTGTGTAGTTCTGATTTGTATCCCTCTGATGGCCAGTTATGTTCTGAAATTGATAGTTGAGGAACTAAATGATAGCAGATTTCCGGTCAGCCTGTGCTATTTCCAGTCTGTCTGTCTGCTGCTGTAAACCAGTTCAGACCACATCCAAGGCTTCTTCTGCTTCCTCTTCCCCGTCCCATCTGTCTCGTCTCAGCACTGCTCAGAAAATTGAAAACTGCTTGCCTTTCTACTGCTAATTCAGTAGCATTTTAAAATCTCACAGTCCCCTTAAAGTCCATGTTTTGTGTGCCCGTCAAGCACAGGCGTGTTGTTTGAGGGAAACGTGTCTTTACTCACACATTTCCTTTCTTCATTTCTGACGTGTTCTGATTATAGTGCAGCACAGCACACACTGGAGAGTGAGGCAGATGGAACACGAGCCCTTCCCACCATTCACCACTTCCATGATTTTATTCATCTCTGATTATTCAGCTCATGGTTTTCTCGACCACTGTGGAGGTGGTGATATCTACCCCCCCATAGGTGGGAGGGCTAACTGTCCCTGTGAAAGAGCCTCACTGATGTTTTGCCTGCCCAAGGAGTGGGAACTAGAGATGACTAGTAGGAGCTGCTGTGAGCAAATGGTTGACCCACATTGGCAGAGGCAGGATGCAGCCAGGACTCACTGCAACTCCCTTGAAGCTGGGTGGCCATTGCTTCATGAGCCTTTCTCGGCTCCCACCCAGCACCACTGACATGGACTGCCGAGTTTGCAGAGAGATGCTACAGAGTCAGGTGGGAAGTTTTCCAGACAGTGAGCTTATTGGACCAGCCCTCTCTGGCCTTCGGCTTTTTTTAGTTTGCTCCTAACTCAGCTCTTAGGAAATCGAGAAATCTGTGACATTCTCATACCATGCAGGTCCCAGCTGGTGCATACACTCAGTATTATCTAAAGAAGCTTCTCTTGTAAGAAGAAACCTCCTTCAATAAGTACTAGCCAAATGTGTATAAACTACTATAGAAGGGCTTGAGATGGCCAAGGAGTAGCATCTCAGTGGTCACTGTATTGAAATAGCAGCTCTAGTGACAGCACAGCTATAGTTCAGAATAAATGCAGCGTGAGATGCTGAGGCTCAACCTAGAGTCAAAAGCTTATTAGTTAAATACTCTATTGAGCTACAGTCCCGGGCTACCCCTTCCTTTAATAAGGGTCTTCATACGTTATGAAGGCTGGCGTTGACCTCATTCTGTGGCTCTTGCAGACCTTGAACTCATGGCTGTAGGCCTAGCACCATCTTTTGTTGGTTGGCTGTTTTGTGCTTTTAATGGTAGGATCTTAACAGCCTTTAGGACTGTACCGGAACTCCTTATCCTCTTGCTGCTACCTCCCACGTATGGGTTTTATGCATGTACCATCAGGCTTTCCTTCAGGGACCTTTTACAAAGTCAACATGGAGACCAGAATGTAGAATGTTTATCTATTGTGGGTGAAGCCTTCATCTGTTTAAAAAACAGTAATGCATACCTGTAAACCCAGAACTGGGGAGGTAAAGGCAGAAGGGTCAAGGGTTGAGTGTTATCCTAATGATCAATAGCAAATTCAAGGCCAGCCTGGGCTATGGGAGACCCTGTCTAAACAAAATAAGCAAATAAATAAATAAACATCACCAGAGGGGTGCACGTGCAAAGCCTTGAAATGTCAACCTTGTACTCTAGGATTAAATTCTTCTAGCTTGTTACAGCAGACAAAGGAGGAAGTTGTTCCTTTTTGGTGTGCATATTCCAGTTAGTCCAGCCTCTTGTGTAACAAGTCACAGTGCACTCTTGAGAGGCATTAATCTTAAAGATGCCAGTATGCATTTCATGTTTCATTTCCTGTGTAGTTCTTAATATGTTTTCTGTACTCCACAGTTTTGCTCAGAGTTGGCCTCTCCTTACTACAGAAATGTGTTTCACAATATTTGGCCACTTATCTATAATAGAAGATAGTAGAAAAATTAGCATTCCAAGATGCTATGGAAAAGAAAAATCTAGAATGTTATTTCTATACTCTTAAATCAGATCCTCCAAAATAGTGGTCCTGGGATGGGCTTAGTGCTGACAGGGGATCCATGGCAAAGGCTAGAAAGTACCTAGGAACCTCACAGGTGCAATTTGCCATCACATTTGGGAGCATTAAGTGACAGACCTTTTTGTACATAGAAATAATCCAGACTTACTATCCTCTAATTTCTTTATCAAGAAAGGTGGCTTATGATACTGGCTTATGCTTTATTTGTTGTTTTTAGAAAATGAGGCTATAAATCACATTTAAGACATTTGAGAGCCTTTTTTGAAACTCTACTGGGAGAGTACAGCTCTTGTATACCCTGACCAAAGACTGCTTCTCCTCTGTGTGGGGAAGGTCTTTTCTTTCAACCATGTGCATAGCTTCAGGTGGTGAGGGAGGAAGGGAACACTTACTAGCCATCCAGATCAGCTGAATCAGTCCCAGACACAATGTGGTGATAGATGTTAAGCCAGACTGCTCACACATGCATGGTGGGGCACAACTTTACTCTTAGAAGTTGGGACAGAAGCAGGTGGATCTCTTGAGTTTGAGGCCAGTCTGCTCTACATAGTGATTTTAGTGACAACCAGGGCCACCTAGAAAGACCCTGTTTCAAAAAATAAAAATAAATAAGATTCATCTAGGAACTTGAAGGTAGTTTAATTGAAGAGGTACTCATGCTGTTTTTGAATTGTTGCTAGTATTTGGAAGTTCATATAACCTTTGATACTACTTAAGCTAGTTATTATGATTACACTTGAAAATACAATGAGGTCATATATTCTACTTTGTTTTCTGTTGCTGTGTAAACACTGACCAAAAGCAACTTGGGGAGAAGTGAGTTTATATGGCTTATACTTCCTGAACATAGTTCATTGCTGAGGAAAGGCCAGAAGCTCAGGGAAGACCTCAAAGCAGGAAAAGTAGAGACCATGGAACACTGCTTATTGGCTGGCTCTCCAGGCTTGCTCAGCTCACTATCTAATATGGCCCAGGACCTCCTGCTCAGGGGCAGCACTGCCCACAGCAGGCTGGGCCCTCCCATATTAGTCATTAATTAAGAAATTCTCAGGGTTAGGGATATGGCTTAGTGGTTAAGAGCACTGTTGCTCTTCCAGAGGGCCCAGGTTTGATTTCCAGCTCACAGAGGCTCACAACCATATGTAACTTCAATTCCAGTGTATCCAACACTTTCTTCTGGCCCTCTACATCACCAGGAGTAGTGATATATTATTTATGATTTATTAACGCTTGCCTGAGGATTCAGAAGGCAAAGTCAGCCTCTAGTTAGAAGCCAGATGGTGGTGACACACACTTTTAACCCCAGGACTCAGAAGAAAGGCAGATGGATCTCTTGAGTCCAAGACCACCTTGGGATACTAGAGAGTGAATCAGAGCTCATGCCATTAATCTCAGGATTTGAGAGGAATAACAGGTAGAGCATTCAGTCTGAGAATTCGTCTCTAGTCATGTTGAGGACAGCACAATGGTCTAAGTGAATCTGAGGAGCAGTGAAGTCAGGAACAGTCTGAGGATCACCCCTTTGGTCCGAGGTAAGAGCTAGTGGCTGGCTGCTTTGCTTTTCTGATCTTCAGCTTGAAGCTTGAACCTCAATATCTGTCTCTGGGTCTTTTATTTATTATGCTGCAACCAGGCATACATGTGGTTCACAGACATACATGTAAGCAAAATGTCTGTCAACATGAAATAAAATAAAAATCACTTTAAAAATAGAAAAAAGAAGGAAAATGATCCCAGAGACATGCCCACAAGCCAGTGTGCTTCAGTCAGGTCCTTATTTAGGAACCCTCTTCCTGGTGACCCTAGCTGTGTCCTGTTTACCACAACTAACAACTACATCATGTGTATTCACATTTCGTCCAGCACATATTCTCAGAATTACTCCATGTTTAGGGAAAGTATTGATTACTGGAATTTCTGAGACGGCAGCAGTTATTAAAATCAATGTGTTGCTCATTTGGAATATTTTTTACCTAATGATGTATAATTGAATTGTTTCTGGAAACTTCTTTCCATTTATGTATTTGTTTGCTTGCTTATTTGGCTATTTGTTCTTTCAGACATGAAGAACAGCCAAGGCCTTTTGTGTTACATGCATGCCTGAAGGACTCACATGAAGAAGTGAGATTCCTTCAAACATGTTCTCGGGTTCTGGTGTTTTGCCTTCTCCCTTCGAAGGATATCCAGTCTCTCAGCTTACGCATAATGCTCGCAGAAATCCTCACAACAAAAGGTAGACTAATAAAATTAATACTACTAATGTGATGTGTGCAAACCAATGTGCTAGATATTGTGATTTCATACAACAGTGCAGAGCTTAAATATTTTGGAGTATGTAGGCTGTAAGGAATTTTAGACATTTCAAGTTTAATTATTACATAAAGGTGTTGGGCATCTGTGATAAATTTTCAAAGTTTATATGCTATATTGCCAATGCAATTAATTTTGACATGGGAAAGCCACTCTTCATGTATGCATGGGAAGCACTCATTTAGAGTAGTTTTTGAGGTATCCTGGTCAGCAGCACATACGTTAAGGAAGAAATTCCCACACAGCACCCATGCACACTGACTCTGATTAGCATTCAACTATATTTTTCTGTGAGTTTCAATGGTATGCTGCTTTCATGAACTTTCAATAAATAAGTACTATACTATAACATAATAAGAAACATTTAAAGTTAATTGTATAGCTAAGTACTTAGCCAGAATAAAAAATGGAAGAGGGGCAGAGAGATGACTCAGTAGTTATAACGCTTGCTGCACAAGCACGGAATTTGTAAAAGCCAGATGTGGCAGCACACTTCTGCAGTCCCAGTGCTGGGCACAACGCAGAGACAGTGTACCCTAGGGGCTCTCTGGCTCCCAGGTCAGTGAGATCCTGTCTCATACAGTAGTTGGGTGGAGAGTATAGAGCGCACTGAATGTTGACCTCTGACCTCCATATGTGCACAAACATTCACTACAAGGGGAGAGGGGGTGGATGAAGACTAATGTTCCCTAAGTAAGAATCTTGAATAAGAGAAATACAGGGGCCAAATATCTCCTTTATCTAATAACAACATTAATAATGATAATTATATCTGTTTTATCTTTGCCCATCAACTGGAATTCTAACCACAGATAAGGCACTCTAAATGTAGTAGGATGGATTTGTAATGGTGTTCTTACCTTAGAGAGCTTCCTCCCCAATGTCTGCTTCGAACAGTTTGGGAACATAGATATCCATCTTTTGGTAGACTAAATGGGCAAACAAATGAACCTTACAAAAAAGTGAGGAAAATCAGTACACTTAATTTTGACAGTTTTCTTAGCAGTGTGAATTCTAAAAGACTTCTTTCCTTGTTCTTTTCACTTGTTTGTTAAAATAAGCACAGATTATACATTAAAGTATACAGAATGATATACAGAGGTGTAAGCAGTCATGTGTGTGTACAAGCATGTGTACACACACACATCTTAAATCGTTCCCCTGTTTGGCTAGTGGAAAATGTTTCCCACATACAGTTCAGTTCTGTGATAAGAAATCGGTTTCCTTAAAGAAGGATGTGTTTTCCAGTGGCTTTCTCCTCTGTCCTCTAGTCTTGAAGCCAGTAGTGGAGTTACTGAGTAACCCTGATTACATTAACCAGATGCTCCTTGCCCAGCTGGAGTACAGAGAGCAGATGAATGAGCACCACAAGAGAGCCTACACATATGCTCCTTCTTATGAGGAGTTCATCAAGTTCATCAACAGCAACTCCGATGTGGAGTTCTTGAAGCAGCTCAGGTACCTAGCCTTGAGTTATAACCCAGCTGTGGCACGAAGGCCACCTCTGTCTAGCTAAGTTCTGTGGGGGGGAGGTGGGGGGGAGGGGAAGCAGGGGAGGGTGGGGGTGACTGTATGTGAGTGAGAGAATGAGAGAATGTGTGTGAGAACGTGTGTGTGTGTGTGTGTGAGTGAGTGTCTGTGCCTTTGTGTGTCTGTGTGCATGCTTTTTTTTCTCCCCCCAGGGAACTAGAGATAAAGGCAGCTCATAAATTTTCTCCTTTAGTGACAGTTGCATTTATTCAGCTTCTCTTTAATAGAGGAATTAGGATTAAAAATTTTCAAGGCATTAGGTTTTCCTAAGAATTTGATAATAATGGTTTTAAATTTGTTGTTGTTTTAAATGACAATGTACAACATTGTATTGATTTTCATTTGTTTTAGAAAATAGAGAGGCTAGGGCCCAGAAACAAGGGCTTCCTAACTAAATTATTTTGAGAAGTCACATTTGAAAATATCGCAGGCATCACTTATAAGGGAGGGTATCTTTGAAATGTTTTTGTTCTCATATAGGCATATGTATTGTGATTATTTGGTTTCATATAGTTTGTGGCTTTTCTAGGCTTGTTTCCCCATTACTTTTTTTATTTAATGTTCCCAAATGGTATTGGGAAGACAAGGAAACTCTGGTGTGTCAATTTTCATTTTTATTAATAATTTTGGTAAATCGTTAATAAGAAAGTAAAATATTAACCCAAAATTGTACATTGGAACTATTCAGAGATGTTAGATATGCCATCCTTCCTTTGGATGAGGGTTGACAGTGAGACAGCCTGAATCTATAATCTTCTGCTCTGAGAGTGCACTGCATAGGAGACTTGCAGTGTTCTTTTTTGTTGTTGTTGTTGCTGTTTTTCTTTTTTGTTTGTTTGTTTACTTTTTGAGACAGGGTTTCTCTGTATTGTTTTGGAGGCTGTCCTGGAACTTGCTTTGTAGATCTGCCTGCCTCTGACTCCTGAGTGCTGGGATTAAAGGCTTGCACTACCAACGCCCAGCAAGACTTGCAGTGTTCTAACCAATGATGTCCCCCTTGGTCTTGGTCTCACCAATGTATAATGACCATTTCTACTGTATAGCTTTGTCTATAAGTAATATCATATCATGAGCATTTTACCTGGGAATCTTATTTATGCATCTTTTCTCATGAATAATGGTAAATGTGCCATATCGTATATGTTATATAGAATAGTATATATTATCTATGTCTGAATTGATGAATTCCATCTTGAGAAGTGTAGCACTTGAGCAGATAGAGAACTCAATAGCTAGTAGTCGATATTTGTTACCCCACTTTACAGGTTCTGTCCACTTATAGATCCTTCTTACCATGGCTTCTTTTGAAAATAGAGCTCATAGAATCGGGTGTGGTAGCACACACTGGATCCTAGTGTGCCAGAGACTAAGGCAGGGGGACTAGGCAACATAGCAAGACTGTGTCAATAAAACAAAAAGAGTCTGACAGTCACACACTTGTGTTGCTTCTTCCTAAGTCCTGCATTCACACTGAGCTCATTTTCTGTCTGGGAGTGCTGTTCAAGCCTGTACCTGTATATTCTTCTGACTCTTTTGTTGTTTTTGAGACAGTTTCTCTGTGTAGCCCTCGCTCTTCTGGAATTACTCTACAGACCAGGCTAGCCTCGAACTTAGAGATCCACCTGCCTCTGCATCCTGAGTGATGGGATTAAAGACGTGCGCCACCACCCCTGGGTATCTGACGCTTTTAACCAACTTCCTGTGTGCCATGTGTGATTTGATCATCCTCTGTGGAGTTATCATTTCTCATTAGGATACTGTTTAGGAGAGATACCTTATGTCCAGAAACGTAAAAATCTGAATTCTTAACCAATTTTCTTCTAGTGAACATTTTTTTTTTCAGAAAAAAAATCACATATAGACAGTTTGGCAATTTCAGGCAAGTTTAAGACAGCAGCCTAAAGTCCAAAGTGGCGGATTGAGTGAAGCCATCACAGTTCACTGTTGTCCTAGGCTCGTGGATGAATCTTGGATTTTGTATACTGAAGGATTCTGGCATTACATACTGGTGACACAGTCAAGCGTGATAACAACTTTTCAAAGAGATTTTAAAAATCAGAACTGATCATTTTAAATGATCAAGTATTGACTTTCTCATAGGGCAGTCCTGCCTCCCACTGTTTGAAGCAGGGTCTCTTGTTTGCCCCTGTGTGTACCAAGCTACCCATCTTCCATTTCCCTTTGGTAATGCTGAGGTTGCAGATGCACTCTGCCATGCCTGGTTTCATGTGGTAAGTGCTTTTACCCACCGAGACATGTCTCCAGCCTGACGACTGGTTCTGTAGTCCCACCTACCATTTTGCAGTTGAGCACAATTTCTGCTATGAAATGAACAGTGGTAAGAATTGATGGTTTTTTAAATAAAATTTTAGATACATTTATTTTATGTGTATGAATGTTTGCCTGCACACACACACACACACACACACACACACACACACACACACACACACACACACACACTGTGTGAGTGCCAGGTATCCTCAGATCCCAGAAAAAGACATTGGATGTCCTAGAACTGGAGTTACAGTTGGTTTTAAGCCACCATGTGGGTGCTAGAGACTGAACTCAGGTCCTTTGCAAAAACTGTAAATGTTCTTAACCACTAAGCATCTCTCCAGTCCCACAGTTTATTCATAAAATGTATTAGCCAAAAGCTTAGGTTTGTGGGAATGCTGCAGTTTGCCATTTAGGAGAATTGCCCACTCAATGAGAATGTCGTGGCATCTTCTCTTCCTGGATGAGTGAATCATAGTAAGAACACGACAGATGGCTTCAGATGGCTTCAGTTGACCAAAGATTACAATGGAAGCTCAGGTTCCATTTTTTCCCTTTCTTCCCTTTTATGTGTGACAACTTAAGTCCTCTTCATTTTATCAAGAGGGCAGCACTGAGAGAGGGCTACACAATGTCTCCTAAGCAGAGAGACTCAGACAGCAGAAGTGCTGGATTGAAGAATGCTTTTTTCTTCTTCCACAAATGTGGGATTGTAGGGAGAGATCTTAGGTACCTGTAGCACTGACCATGCCTGTTTAGGCGTGGTCACAGGTACGTAGAAGATGCAGGGGGTTAAAGAGCTAAGAGGAAGGGGACTCTCTCACTTGAGGTTCCGGTCAGCGCTACAGGTACCTTGGTCTCTCCCTACATGGGATAATTCACACACTATAAAGTACATCATTTTAAACTGTACAGTTCAGTGGTTCTTGTCATGTATTCAGACTGCCTAACTAATGCCTCTAATTTTCCAGACTATTTTTACTGTCCTCAAGAGAAGTCTTACACCGTAAGCAGTCACTTCCCACTCGTCTCCTCCTTTCAGCTCTTGGCAGCCACTAATCTGCTTTCATTCTTCATTCCTGCCCGTCCTGGGTATTCATCTAAATGAATGTGTCTGGCTGCTGCACTCAAGCAAAATGGTGTCAAGGTTAATCAACACTGTTGTATATGCAGCACTCCGAATAATGTCAATGGATGAATATATCACATCTTACGTGCTAGTTCATCAGATAATGGACACTTGGGGTGTTGGCCCTTTGAGTCACCACTGAGCATCATCAGTAACACTTCAAGAGCACTGTCAGTGACTGTCTAGAGTACAGTAAATGTTACCCATTCCTCACTCCCCTCTTCTTGCCACCACATGCCCCTATAGAGTACTTGTCAAGGAGGAGCACAGGCACCACAAGGCCAGCCACTACTGTATATCCCTCTTCCATGCAGCTTATCCTTTCTCTCCTTTGGTGTGCTTAGGCTTTGTACTTCTGGCTGCTTACAGAATTAGTAGGAAGAGGACTTGGGGTAGATATCCAAGCTCTTTTAAGTACCTAGTCTTTTAGAAGCAAAATACACTTCCAGGGTTAATTATTTTGAAGTAATGGAAGAATCTAGTTGGATGGCACTTTTCTTTTTGACATCCACCCCTTTAGAAGTTTTCAGTGCCATATATGTGTCTTGGGAAATTTGCTGATGTCTTCTTTTAATACAACCAAAATTTCTCTGTTGCTTCTTAGCCTTTTGGCTAAGGTCAAGTGTAGAAGAGCTGAAACCCCTCTTATATAAAATTGTGGAACAAGGGAGCAGATAGAATGGTGATACATAAAGGGACTAGGGAGATGGCTCAGTAAGTAAAATTCCTAGTATACCAGTGTGGGAATTGGAGGTTGGATCCCCAGTACCCATCTAAAGTCTGGGTGGCCATGGCAGCTTCCCTGCACTCCCCAGTGCAGAGGTGGGGAATTTCTGGGCAAGCAGGCTAGCCAGGCTATCCCAAATGAGGAGCCATGGCAGCTTCCCTTCACTCTCCAGTGCAGAGGTGGGGAATTGCTGGGCAAGCAGGCTAGCAAGGCTATACCAAATGATGAGTCCTGGGTCTAGGGAGAGACTAGGGAGCAATTGAGAAAGAACCTAACATCACTCTTGGGCCTCCATACAAAGACATTAACATACAACAAACGCATGTTAAAAATATATAAATGAAAATGCCACAGAGAAAGCTATTTGGGGTGATAAAAATTTAATTAAAATTATTTTCTCAAAGTGTAATATGCCACTGACAATCGTAGTTGGGGGGATTACAATGGTAATCCAGAAGTGTTTCTAGCCCCTACAGCAAGCTTGGCAAAGAACCATGGGAGAAAATACCACTGCAGGCCTTTTTCTTGATTGTTGAATGCATTCAGAGTTACCTTTAGAATGCATGCCTCTGAAACACCGCATATCTCAAGGCACCTTCTGTTGGCACTGTGAGGCTGCTCTTGGGCTTTGCTGCATAGGATTTCAGACATTTCTGTTTGACATGTGCTAGGGTATCTTTTATCTATGATGAATTAAGCTTATCCTAAGGACAGAGCTGTAGCTAAGCTTTATTCTCTGTGTCTTGTACAACAGTATCTGCAGAAGACCACAAGGATGACTATAAGAGCAGTGAC